TTTTTTTTAAATAAATGATAATCATTCTCATTCTTGCTTCTCTCAGCCAGTCTTTTAAGAGGAGCTGCTAGAAGAAGCCAGGTGCAGCCCGAGTGAGACATTAGATACAGCTATTTTATTATATTTAGATTATGGATATTTTGGACTGAATGAGGGAGGATGTGTGTGCCCATTAAGATTCTTTCAAGGGTGGGTGACAGATGCCTGTGAGGATCCACTCCCCTACAGGGAACAGATGGGCTCTCAGGTGAAGAGACCCAGAGACGCACAGGGTCCCCTGCACTGGGCTGGCTTCATTTATTCCCAGATGGCCGGAGGCTCCCTTGTGACGGTGCCATCGCCACGGGCCCAGGTCACACCTCAGCAGCTTTTCTTGCCCAGTATTTCCAGTGACAATCCTAGGACAGACCCTCTCTTGACCAACCTGGGTCTCTTGCCTGTCCTCCCTAAACCAACCACTTAAAAAAAAATTAATTAATTAATGTAAAAGTAATCTCTCCTGTGTTTGGGAGCTAAAAAAAAAAAATGTTTCCCAATGATGCAGGTCAAAGATGAAATCATCACGGGAATATTAAACATAGCACACAGAAGTTTTACTTTCTAATCAGAAGTGACCCGCTTCTCATGGCTAATCTATTCCCCCCCCCCCAGTATGTTGAGCTCTGCTCTTTGATAAGAACAGATAATAAAATTTTTCTTAGCGCCCTCCTAGCCCACTTGGCAGAACATCCCGGTTGCAGGAAAGTCCTCCCAGGACAGCAGACACCTGGTTTTCAAGCATGTCCGATGTTACCTATCTAAACCTTGACAGAATATCCCGTTTGCAGGCAGACTCCATCAAGGACAGTAATAGTAACACAGTCACATCTGATTCTCTATACCTCTCCTCCTGGTTTAAAGACCCCCTTATCTAATGTCAATCAGGTACCAGAAACTTCCAAACTGCTTCTTCCAAACTGCTTCATCGGTGGAGTAAAATAAAAGGCATGCCTACTAAACATGATTAAAATAGACAGAAATCAAGAGGAAATTCATGTTTTGAGCCTCCTTGCCGTCGACACACAAACGCAAAGATTACAGTTTCGTGGTGCTGATCCTCAAGAAGCAGGAAACATCAATTTCTCAGCAAAGGCTTTTTGTCAGTTCTAAATTTAAACACACATCCACCCACCCACCCCCACCACACACACCCCCAAAGCAAATTGCCAGTGTGTGGCTTCACCACGTGAAATCTTCAAAAGAGGCACTGATTTTTATTCACCTATTTGTGTATTCTCTCTCTCTCTCTCTCTCTCTCTCTCTCTCTCTCTCTCTCTGAGGCACAGAGACTTGAGAAATCTGACTCTCACACAGACAAGAACCTCTGAAATAAACTTATCGCCTTGGATGTTGGAGTACAAGGTGCACTACATTTTGATGACACTTTTAAGCAAACCTGTAAGGAACAGTCATTTGCCTGCTTTGGGTCTAGATATGTGATAAAGAGGGAGTATGAGGGAACACAGGTAAAGGTTGATCTAGGGCAGACTGCAGCTTCTGGTCCTGGAAGGTTGGTGTGTGTGGTCGAGGGGACTTTCTGGTGGCCTAAATGGATGTGTGGGCAGAACTTCTACAGTTAGGAAAATGGAAGAGGGTCCCATTACCCGCTGTTGATTGTTCTCCAGTGCAAGGGGGGTAATTGCACTGGAAAGAAGAATTCTTTAACTAAATTCATTTTAAATGGAAATCAAATAGTCATAGTGTCAATAGTGGAACGGGAGTTTAATTAAGAGGTTATCTTGAAAAATGAAGAAAAATTTCCCCCATCTCATGAATTTGTCTTATATTCAGTAAATTTTAGGTTATGAATGAATTTATGAGTTAATTTGTAGAAACGACAAAGAATCAAGTGTTGATTTGGTTGGGTCGTATTTTTCCCCAACAAATCGTATGATAGCTCCCATAAAGAGGCTTGGCTTATTGAAAATTTGCAAGGGTGCCATCAATTTTCCCAAGAGCCTCTTTTAATCATTTGATATTCAAATAGTTTCTTGTTGAAGTGCCATCCAGTCCTGAGCCTTGGCAGGTTCCTCATTCCCAGGCGTTTGCCTGTCTAGCTTCGCCAGGCCTTCCCATGCTTGCCAAAAGCTTTGGGCACCCATTTGAGCATTCCCAACCTTCCATTCACAGGCTTCCTTACATCTTGCATCTCTAGAAAGATTCACACTTGACCTTGGCTTTCACAGTCCAGCTGCAGCTTTCTGGTCCTATCAGCACCAACGGGGGAGGGTGCAAGAGTTACATGGGGAGGGAGGTTTGAGTGGACATCAATACACAAAAGGCCAAATCATTATTGAGAAACATTTTGTGTTATGATGATTTTTGACCCTTCTGTCACTCCATCACTGCACGGATTCAGATGGACAGATCTTCAGATGGTGAGACCTCCCTGGAGAAAACTCTAAGCAGCACCGACCTGCTTGGCCCTCACTAACTATCATTTTGGGTGTTTGTCCTGTTAGTCTGAGTTCCTGAGGTTCAAAATGAAGAGAGCAGTTGTACGTGACTTGTTGAATTTAAGGAGATGGTTCGGTGGTTCGTGTACAGTGATTCACTGAAATGTTACACGCTTAGCTATTAAATTTGTTATTACCGAATCTTCTTCCCGTTCTTTTTTTTTTTTTTTGGAGGGAGGAGTGGATTACTGGGGATTGAACTCAGGGGCACTCAACACCGAGCCACACCCCCAGCCCTGTTTTGGATTTTATTTAGAGACAGGGTCTCCCTGAGTTGCTTGGCACCTTACTTTGAACTCATGATCCTCCTGCCTCAGCTTCCTGAGCCACTGTTACAGGCATGCAACACTGTGCCCAGCTTCCCCATTCTTAAATTTAGAAAATTCTGTGCTATATACCCATTGAGAAGCAGTGTGAGCACAGCAATTGGGACTCAAAGGGACCTGCTCTTTGTTGCTCTTGACCCATATGGCCAGAATCAGAAGTCACTGTCTCCTAGCTTCTGGGAGGATGACCTTCAGACTCTACCCAAGCAATGGTCTTGTGCATGCGATCTTCCCTCTACATTTTTTGTGAGATGTGATAAGAGGTAGAACAATTTTTTTTTAAATAAATGATAATCATTCTCATTCTTGCTTCTCTCAGCCAGTCTTTTAAGAGGAGCTGCTAGAAGAAGCCAGGTGCAGCCCGAGTGAGACATTAGATACAGCTATTTTATTATATTTAGATTATGGATATTTTGGACTGAATGAGGGAGGATGTGTGTGCCCATTAAGATTCTTTCAAGGGTGGGTGACAGATGCCTGTGAGGATCCACTCCCCTACAGGGAACAGATGGGCTCTCAGGTGAAGAGACCCAGAGACGCACAGGGTCCCCTGCACTGGGCTGGCTTCATTTATTCCCAGATGGCCGGAGGCTCCCTTGTGACGGTGCCATCGCCACGGGCCCAGGTCACACCTCAGCAGCTTTTCTTGCCCAGTATTTCCAGTGACAATCCTAGGACAGACCCTCTCTTGACCAACCTGGGTCTCTTGCCTGTCCTCCCTAAACCAACCACTTAAAAAAAAATTAATTAATTAATGTAAAAGTAATCTCTCCTGTGTTTGGGAGCTAAAAAAAAAAAAATGTTTCCCAATGATGCAGGTCAAAGATGAAATCATCACGGGAATTCCACAATCTTTTCAACTCCAATGGCCAATCTGTTTTCTGCTCTGTGGATGTGTCCCTCTAGACATTTCACACAGATGAAGTCACAGGCTATGTGGCCTCTTGCATCTGGCTGCTTCCTGGAACAGCACATTTCTGAGGTCTTACACGGTGTGCCCCCTTCCTTTTGGAGAAACCCATTCTTGCCAGATGCTTGGGCGAGTTAAACAGCATCACATTTACAAAAGGGCCTCCTTAGGGCCTGGTATGTGGAGAGGAGCATCTTGGCTTCTTTCCCTTCTGGGTCACAGGAATCCACTGTGGTAGCACCTGTGCAGAGGCACCTGGTAATCAATGATTCTGAACCTCGGCTTCTCCAGGCTCTTGCAAGAAGCAGAAAGACTAGAGAAGGCAACATATCCAGTTCACCCACCTCCCTAATTCCCCTCGACAGGATTGAAAATGTCAAAAAAGCCTCAAGGTCACAGTCCTAGTGATCATAGGCTGACTCACACCAGTCTGTGGGTCCATCTTCATGCGAGTGACCCTGCAGCTGCAGATGACAGATGTCAGGCCCTGGGCTCCAGCTCCCACGCGGGTCTCACCAGTGCCCTTCCTTGCCTTGCCTCTAGCTGTGTGTGACTTACTCTTGTGGCTTTGCTGTGCACACTTGCTGGGCAGTGTGCTCTGCACACAAAGGCCGCAAAGACTCTTGAGAATCACAGTGCACACACGTACAGAGCTGCTCCACCCGACAGAAACCACCTTTTGCAGCATCCGCTTATCTGAAAAAAAATATGATGCACAAATGATTTTTTTATATGATAATCAAAATTGGGGGCCGGGCAGAATATAAGGAAGACAGTTATAGTTGAGGTTTTTGGAGGATAAAAGATTAAAAGCAATCAATTTGAAATTACATGTATTTTATTACAAAAGCAAAGCTCAGGGTTGTCTATGTGAATTTCAAAATTTTTCCTACGGGAAATGAATGAACCAAAATCAAAACCAAATCCAGGCTGGGCACGGGGGCTCTCACCTGTAATCCCAGTGGCTCGGGAGGCTGAGGCAGGAGGATTGTGAGTTCAAAGCCAGCCTCAGCAAAAGCAAGGCGCTAAGCAACTCAGTGAGACCCTGTCTCTAAATAAAATACAAAATAGGGCTGGGGATGTGGCTCAGTGGTTGAGTGGCCCTAGGTTCATTCTCCATAT